ATAATAATAATAATAATAATAATAATAATAATTTGTAAAGCGCAAACATCTCCACCTAAATAGGTGCTGGGCAGTGTCAAACAAGCAGTAGAGAAAAAAAACAAGATAATATCACAAGAAGAAAATGTAACAAGACTCATCATTTTATTACTTTACCTTCTCATTTTTTAACCACAGTTATACCAATGTCTTTCGATATTTCATTTTCTTTTCTTTCTCTTTCTTACACTTTCCTTTTTTGTCATATGTTTCCTTATCTTTTTCCTATTCTTTCTTATGTTTTCTTTTCTTCTTTTTTTCCTTTCTTATGTTTCCTTTTGTTTCTATGTTTCATTTTCTGTTTTAGTCTCTCCTTTTCTTTCTTATGCTTCCTTTCCTTTCCATTTCTTTCTTGTGTATTTTTTCTTATTCTTTCCTTTTCTGTCTTACGATTTTCATTTCTTTTCCTTTTATCTTTTTCTTTCCCCCTTTCTTTCTTATTTTGTAGTGAAAATCAGGGCCCCCGTGAACTTTTTCAGGGACCAACGTTTCTCTATTGATTTAGCATCACTAGATAAAAAGAATGAACGGGCGGGCGGGGGGAACCTCCAGAAAAAGGGCGGAACGTCCTTTAAAGTCGGATAAGCTTCTCTTAGCAGATCTTAGCATATTATCATATATTTTTTTCGACAGTGTGCAATCTTGTTCTTTTAGATTAGAATGACTTTGTTCTTTTTTTTTGTTTTTGTATTTTTTTAATTAGAAGAAATGTAAACCCCAAATATAGTGCAAATATTTATAAGATTGTGTCCCCTTACTCACAGTTATGAATTTTCCTATCTGTTTTCCATTTTTTCTCTCGGTTTATAAAATACCAATTCGGTGACCATCATTAGATTTTTGCTAATTAAATCTTGATTTCCGCTCCTTTGCATATTTCCCCGTAATATACAACATTTTTAACACTTTAAATTTATTATTTGTCGTATTAAACAACATGGTAGGCCCAAAAAATAAAAATAAAGCAACATTTTTTTCTTCTGAAATTTCATTTTTCGTGGCGGTGAGTGTGCTAATTGGCCAAATATAAATTTGTTTTATTCGAATCATCATTTTAGACAAGGTGCAAAAAAGTTTGCCATATCTACGACCATACTACATCTGAAGATCGAGAATATAGAAGTTGTTAATAGTTTAAATGATTTTTTGTTTTAGAGTGAATTTTTTATATGCCATTAATAATAAAATCAACCTTAAAATCGTTTTTTGCCTATTTTTTATGAAGTTATAGGCGATTATATACGATTTTACCATGATGGCACCAATTACAACTACAGACATGTAAATTAATGTCTGTTTAACGATGTATTGTTGATGTTTCGCTTGGAAGTAAACATATTTTCGTATTTCGCTGAATAATTATTATTCATTGCTTCTTGTTTTATGTCCACCGTAATCAAGCGAGATAGGCCTACAGCTTGCCTTTCATGAAAGTCGTCATCATAATTATAGGCATCATCATCGTTAAATTTCTTTCGTGTTTCTTCTTTGGTTTTGTTGATTATGTTTGAGATGTGTGCACTAATGATTGTTCTAATGTCTTTCATATAACTATAACCATATAACCATGCCAGATGGTGTTTCTGCTTAAGATTTATAACATCATATTCATATATATTTGAGCATATTATTATCTATTCCATTTATACGTACCCAGTGCTAAGCAGCAAATACTTGATTTGAATATAATTTCCTACCAATAAGCTATTACGTAATTTAAAAAGTCGCTCGACTATTTTTTGTGTAACCCTGAAGTTGTATCTCTTAAGGGAGGAGACGTCTTAGACCTCTAATATCGCAGGGGTCTCTGTGGCCTAAATGTACTCTGTTTGATACGATTTATAAAATCATGTTTCGATATATTTGAGCACTGTATTATTATGTATTTGATCTATACAACTACATTATTTGTGTTTACAGTGCTAAGCAGCGAAAACTTGATTTGAATCTCCGACGGGAGCAGTCTCCTGATAAGTCCAATGCGTACTCAAAAGCTGGAAGAGTATGTCTTAAAGAGCTGAGTGCTCCCATTGATGTTTCTGATAGGGGAGAATCTACGACTGGAGGGGGAAAATAAATCGAACGTAATCGGGCTTGGGCCAGAAACCAATGGGCTAGAGGAGCGAAGTTGGGAATGAAAGGCTTATGTAAAAATCGATTAATGAATCTTATAATCCGAAAGGTAATAATAACCATACCAACAGTAGGCCTACTATCTTCAGTGGCATAATTGATTTAAAAATCTAAAAATTGCAAACCTTTGGAGACTAAATACATTTCAATGTGTTAATGATAAATTATACTGGTATCATTCAATTAATTTAAATTCAATTTTATTAACCTCCCTTAGGAGAGAAACACTCAAATTTACAATTCAAACAGATTCAATAAAATATTATAAAATAATGTACATACAAAAATGTCATAACAATTAATTAAATAGTGTTAAAAATATAATCCATTCAAAAAGGTCATAACTAATTGAGAACAGTGTTAAAAGTATTCACTAAAATGGCAAACTAACACTGTCACAAACACCATGGTTCACAATCAACATATTTGCAATATTATAAATTATAATAAATTATAATTATATAATTTATAATAAATTATATTATTAGACAAATGGAAAAACAATGCTTGTTATGTTATCAATTAGGGTATTCTTACATGCACCTGTTTACTATTCAGTAAATGTGAATACTGTAGTAAACTTATAAAATTGCTAGTCTTCTAAAGTTATAATATAGAGGGCTACACACTTGAAAGTATATTCCACCAACTTCGAATTCTGATTTAACTTCCTGTTGATGTTCGAGACGAACTTGTTCTTGAAATGAATTCATTTATCGGAATTTTAAAACCATTTTATGCAAAGAAAGCTTGTTTGACAAGTTATGTCTGATATGGGGCAACTTTCTCTTATCTTATCTTATCTTATCAGCATTTGAAAGAAAAGTGATAATGATGTTATGTTTGATTTAGGAGAAGAGAAAAAAACTAATATAAAATAAACAAAATTCCACATAAGCCAAGTCTTTCAATTCAATCAATTTGTACAGCATAATTTTATTACAACTTATTTCAATATATCATATAACAAAAAACATTTTTTATTTACAATTTTATATCTTAAAACCTAACAGCTCTCGGCTACAGCATCGGACTGGGGTGTAGGGGCCGCTACTTGTGTTACACCTGGTCGTTTGTCGTTCATTTTCTTACTGTGTTCCAGCAAAGAGAGACACACAAAGGCCCAGTTGTATAATTGCTGGGCTGGAAGTGAGCCGTGCTTGGCCACTGCACCATGGGGGACATCTATTAAAATAAGATGCAAGAAAAAAACCTTAAATATTTGCTTTGTGACTGCTTTACAAAAATTTATTTATGAATTTCATAAAATACATTAAATACAAAATATATTGATTTCAAATACTCCTTTTGACCTCATAAAGCATTGTTACTTTCAAAATAAATATATATTAAAAAAAAACCCAATTCCATACTAACAACATTTAAAATTGATATTACAAAATGATACCTCTTTGAAATAATCGATGTATGAATTCTTACAATCCTATAAATGGCTGATTTCAAAAGAATGCAAAATACATTCATCTTTTCTCATCACTCAAATTTCCCTCCAATGAACAAGAATCATATCTTACCTTTCAATCTGCCAGCTATCTTCTGAACCGAGTTAACTGCTTCAGAGGCGGTAGGATCAAACTCACCAATTTTGTTGATGAGGTCACTGCTAATCAACTAAAAAAAGAATATATCAACCAATTTAAAAATTGGCATTTGCACAATGTTTGACAATAATTTTGGTCATCATCACCATCATCGTCAACCGTGATGCTGTCATCATTATCATCGTCGTCACCATCATCAGCAATTAATAATCATTATTATTATAATTATCTTCATCTTTCTTAATTATAAATTCACTCTTCATTCTCCACCATCATAATCCTTACAAAAATTATCATTTTTAGACTTTGATTTCAGAACACACAATTTAGTCACATATATTTCATATAAAAAGTAAATGAATAAAAAAAAAAAAACAGCACTACGAACCTGTTTACAGTTATTCCACTGTTCTAATTCCCCGGCTTCGGATTTGTCCTGGAAGAACAGAGTCAAGACTGATACCACAATGTCATGAATGACCTTTGGTGGTTCCTTGTAACTCTTGAGCTCAGCAAATGCACGTGCATTCAACTTTCCAACGTTCTCTCGTAGATCCATCAGCATGATACGATCAAACATGATGTCAATGCGGTTTTGTTCGCTGTCTTTTTCAGCCTCTTTAGAGATATGACAATAAAAAAATTCATCATTTAGAAATATTGATGTTCTATAGCTGAGTGTTTTTAAGAGGCTTTAAGAGTGAAGAGCTCATCATTTGAGACCCTTGATTGTCTACAGTCACATCTCTTTATGAGACGAGACTTGGAAAGAAGAGAGCTAATAATTTGAAAATTGCAATACTCTATAATTGAGCCTTTTAGAGGTTTGGAAAGTCGAGGCCTAAAGCCACCCTGACACTTGCACGATTTTTGTCCCCGCAATGCGCCGTGGCAAGACGTGCCATTTCGGTGGTATGCTGCAGAGTGTGAACCCGTGTTTGTGGCCTGTACACTGTACACGCACTGTGTATGCAATGCGCGTAAAAAATGTACCATATTGACACGCAATGGCACTACTTGTTTACGCATAGGTTAAGTATTGTTTGCGCGTTGCTCACATCTACCGTACCTCATTGTCCCGCAGTGTCACATACAACATGCATAATTCCCGCTGTCTTCCCGCATTGCCCTGACAACTTCGCGCATGCGTGAAGTCGTCTTGGCAATTTATAGTCAGGCTTTGTCCCACTTGGCGGCATGCTATACATATAGTGTAGGATTTTCCTCGACTCGCTATGGACGATTCAACATGCTGAATCCCAGAGACAATGTTATTACAGAACAGAGAAGGTGTCTATATCTGGCAACTGCGGACTATAACTATTTGAAGAGCAGGAGAAAAGGCAGAAAGTGGAAGATCATTCTTGACACGCACCGTCGGCAGTGTTCGCTCATTATTCACGCATGGTTTACGCATATAGCATGAACATTGATACGTGCTAAATTTTTGAACATTTTAAAATTCTCTCTACGACATAGCGCGCACCCCCGCACCTCCTCACGCTCGTTCCCGAAAACTTTAATCATTGGCATGCCGAAGTACGGGAACCAAAATCGTGCTACAAAAATCGTGCAAGTGTCAGGGTGGCATACCTTGTAGAGGCGTTTTTCATTGTAAAATACTTTAATTTTCCAAAAGAAAATTCCTAAGGAACCATCATTAATTAATTATTAACAAACAACTTCACACCAAACAACCAGACACATTTTGCAAGGCCATTGGCAGAGGTTCCACACACACACACACACACACACACCTTACAACAATGTTTATAGGTTGATATAGTGGGTCAATTTGCTGTAAGTAACAGAAATCATTGATTTTAAATACTGGCTTTATAATTTTGTTGTGATGCAGAGATTGTTGATAAAAATTACCATGTGAGATTACCTCCTCAAATATCCAGTTGGGATTAAACCCTGAGACCAGCTATGGTTCTCTCCTGGATCCTACTAGGGGCCCTAGGCAAATCCCAGCCTAAGTATACCAGTTCATGTATTCACCACCTTTCCTTTAATATCTCACCTAACACGATAGTCTTGTCCCCGCCTGCTGATTCCTGAGAGACTTCTTTGTGAGCTGTCTGTAACAGCTTAAGCATACGCTGCACCTCTTTATTTTCATGGTTTGGAAGCTCTTTTAAATCACCAATACTGATATCAACAACAGCTACAGCACGACCATCAGGATCACGTAGTGGAAAAGCCATGTGACGTTCACCGTATGCATCGGCTGCAACAGTCTCTGAATTGTCAACGCACTTAAAGAGGTAATCCCTATATAATAGAGATTACACATTACAAACAATATTCTACACATTCTTATATATTTTCAACAGGAAAGAACAAAACTTTTGATTATCATGGGTTGTAGAGTTACCATGGCGATCAGGGTTGAACTAAAGAATATTCTACATAAATCTTAAATATTTTTAACAGAAAAGAACAAAACTTTTGAGGATTATCATTGGTTGTAGTGTTACCATGGCGATCAGTGTTGGAACAAACAATATTCTACATATATTCTTATATATTTTCAACAGAAAAGAATAAAACTGATTTTACAGGTCAAGAACAAAGTAACAGCAAACACACTACCTGAATAAGTTCTCCTTCCTCTCTAACTTTTGTGGATTATCATGGGTTGTAGTGTTACCATGGCGATCAGTTGTCAGCATTTTACGAAGCACAAAATCTTCCAGCTATTATTGAAATAAAAATTGTTTAAAAAATGAAAAAAAATAAAAATGGTTAAATTGATGAAATATTTCATTCTACTGACTCCTTGTGCAAAAATGTTGTAATATGCTGCAGCAGTTGAACAGGAACTATCAAATCACAATGTAATGGAAGAATCAAATCAAGGTAACATTTCAATGGCATGAATTATTTCGTGTATGCAATAATGTACAGTATGATCATGGACCTATTATTAATACTGTAGGTCCATGGTATGATTTATATTTGACTCACACAAAACAACATGTTATACAGGATATAGGATGAGTGTAAAGCTTGTCAGCACTATCAACGAATTTGTGTGATGTGCCCATATATGGGCATGATGATATCATATTACACCCAAATATGGACATACAGTATCACATTTATTTGTCACATAAAATTTTATAGTGTGGACAGACCTTTAGGGAAATTTTGCAATGTGTTCCCCCCCCCCACCCCACCCTCGAAGGATAATTCCCTCATGTGAAGACAACAGTAATCCCTATAACACTGTGCCATGTAATATTTTGTCTTGTGTGAATCGGGAATTAGTGTTAATATTTACATAATGAATTACCGCATTCAGTGATTAATATGAACAAAAATGTATTACTTATTAAAATTGAATTGCAAAAAGAGTGCAGTGTGGTATAGCCATGAGTGCATTGTGGAATTTGGTATAGCTAGAAGAGAACATGAGATGGAAGAACACTACTGTAAAGGATGTGCATTAAATGTATAGATAGAAATTATCTAAAAGTTATTCTTCTTATTATTATGTCGTAATAGCAGCAGAGAGAGTATTAGTGCAGCAGTAAGAGATTGGACTTCAGTGCGAGATGGGCAGTTTGGACCTTAGGTGAGACACTTTGTTCTTTTTAGCTCATCCCTTCGATGGGACATTATAGCTAATGGTCATGTGTGCATAATAGCATGTGCACTGAAAATTTAGTTATAATAATAATATAAAACTAATTTTTAAAATGTGTTTGGGATAATAAACTATAAAAAATGAGAGAGGATTGTCATACAGACTATGCTAGCCACATGATGCGCAGCTGATACAGGTCTTCAGAGGCCTATAACTTGAATTTATTAACTTTTACTTGAGAAAAACATGTAACGTGCTTAAATATGGTCCCGATGACATCACATCATGACCATATATAGGCACATCATGACTATATATGGGCATACTTTTTTTGTCAAATAAAATTTGATAATTTGGACAGAGCATTACTTTTTGTTATTAGTATGAACCTTAGTGTCATTCTTAACTTTTAATTGGGAGTGGCAGCTGAGTTCAACCCTGGGGCCAGGCAATTTTAGGACACATGTTTATTTCTATTTTAAGTATCGAACAAACTTTTTTCATTAGGTGCAATCTTGAACCTATCTAACCTTCTTTTCATTAGGTGCGTTACCCATGAAGAACATCATCTGTTTGCGAGTTTTGGTTGAAATATACCGTTGATTTTTAGTAAACGCCTACATTGTGTATAACAAAACAATTAATAACAATAGATGTGTATAAGAGACAGGACACTAAACATAAAACTGAATTTGTTATAAACAAATATCTATCTACAGATAATTAAATGTCTAAGGTTGTGATGAGAAAATGAATGTGCTCTATAGTAAATACCTTGGCACATTATATTAATAGTGCAGGTTAAAAAGACTTCATACTTTATGATGTTGGAAGATGGATCCTTATTAAGGAAAATGCTTATAATTATAAATTTTGATTGCATTGATATTTTAACACACAGGTTAATGAGGATGATCCCGCCATTGTATAAAAATTATCCACAAAAATATTTGAGGCTAATCATCAATCAGTTATTGTTAAATTAATCAATGAGAGAAATGGTGAAGATCAGCTTCTTTATTTACAATGAACATGGCTATAACAGACAAGAAAAACTAAAAGAACACAAAATGTGTAGGTGGTGTTAGTACTTTCAAAGTAATTTAAAAAAAACAAAAATTAATTTCTCATTATCATTATTAATAGTAAGTTACGAAGATAGAATACAGAATACTTGAATAGAATGATGAACTATATATCATAAGTAAACATGAACATGTTGGTTAATACTAGTTTAATATAGCATGCAGTGAGCTTCAATAAGAATACCATTGCAAGTAGTATACAGGTGAGGTTAAAGGTAAAGGGTCAAACATTTGAATACATTAATACCTTCTCATCCGGTTCAACAATGAACACATTGACTTGTACAACATGTGGACTACGACGATGAATCCAAGATATGGCGCTCTCCGCAATACGGAGTGTCTTGCGTCGGATATCAATGTAATTGTATGCTGTGCTAAATGCTTTGCCCACACCCTGAAAAGTTTAAATAGAAAAGTAGAGAAATTTTAATTTTACTACAAAACTGATTTGAGTTTACTGTTTTTTTATTTTTAGTAAGATAGACCAAATAGCTACCATGAACAAGGGGCTTCAAAGTGCTGGTAAATGGAGCAGTAATGCTAGTTTCTCTGCTTCTGGTTAGTTTAAGATATTAGGCCTAATAGCTAAATTTTTCTTTTTCCACTGTATTTTCTCAAGTGCCTTGAACATATCTTTAAAATGGATTAGAGCGCTATAAAAATCTTATTTATTATTATTGTATTTACATTTTGATTTAATTAACATAATTTACCTGAAAGAAGCTGATCTCATGTGTGATAAAGATACTCTTTTCTTGAGGGTCATTCAGCGTGTCAATTCCCATTGTGCCAAATACATTTCGCTTGAGATCCTTTAATGGAATCACAATAAAAGATCCTTGACGATCCTAGATTGAAAAAAAAAACAATTTTAACATGTTTATTTTCCTCTGTAGACCTCTGGCCATCTTCTGATTGTGACTTCAGACATATCAAAATAAAAAAGAGACTTAGGAATATATAAGATTCCCAGATTTCTTTTCTGTAATTACATTTCACTAACATTACATTTTTATTACACCCGCTGCTGCCTTGAAATTTCCAAAAATAGGATATTTATATTTCTTTCTAATTATATAAATTTAAAGAATTTACATCCCATTACAACACTGTTTACATTCACCAATAAAATTATATTTTTATTTTCTCCTCTATCCGGATGTTTTTGGGAAAATGCTTTGCTAAATGAAAAACCAAAATATTATTTTTTTTTTGCCCTCTGATGATCTTTGAAAAATCAGTTCATGAAACAAGGTATAAAAAACGTCTATAGCCTGATCTGTGAAATACTTTGTAATGAAACTGTGAACACATTAAGATTAGCACCTTTTTCATATTCTTGTTTCTCCTTCACTAATTACAATATTTTCCCTTATAATTAACAGTTAGATAGGTGAATTCAATGTCTGCATCATTATAACACTATGAACGTGAAAGCTAGCCAACAACAACAAGCTGGTAGAAAAGTTTGATGACATGTCATTCTGTTGCTATTTCTTTGTTTCTGTAAATGCCTTAAGACATTACAGATTGAGAAAAGTGCTATATACACAACCATTACCATCACCAAAAGGTTTACTTGTTTTATTTTAAAATGTTACAATATTTCCAAGTTATGTAAATAGAAAGTGCAACAAAAACTTAAATATAGAATACACAGCAGGGGAGACAACAATAATTATGTCACAACAAACACACATTAAAATTAATTCTTGTTAGATGTCAGAATATGTTTTTTATTCCCTATTTTAGAGGTCTCATCTTGAGGTAAAGTTACCTTTGAAAATAGTGAAAAAAGCTGAATAAATTTAGAATAGAAAGCTCATATTAAATGCATGTAAATTGATTCTTAACATAGCACTCAACAGTGCAAAAACAGCATCTGGTGAAAATAGCAAATTTGCTACATTTTACATTTATGTAAATGGTTAGTAAAATATAGTTACAGTATAAAGCTTTGACCACGCTACTGTATCAAGTTATATGTGAAAATGTTGAATACTGTGTAACCAAGGTCTGTTCCTTTGCTCAATTGTTTTGGACTATCATATGTACATTTCAATCAAAATGTATGCATGTTTTTGTAAAAGTTTATGACCTTGTTTACTAAATAAATAAATGCAAACGCAAAAGATATCTGTAATTTGTACATAAATGGTCATGATATGAAACCATCATGCCCATATATGGGTGTATGGCACCTTCACACATAATTGTCACAGAAGATTTGTTAGGGTGGACAGAGTATTACACTATTTACTATTCTTTTAAAACATTTCTGGTGAAATTCATCAGTCCCCAAATGACAACACACACCACATACTTCATGTCAGTTGTTAGTTGTGCACTTTCTCAACATGCACATTAGGTAAATTGTCCTATCCTGAACTTACTTTGCCAGGCTCGTAGTTATCGATAGAGAGCTTCTTATATTTCTGACAGCAAGTATGAAGTTGAAAGAATACATTTAAGAATGTAAGAGTGAAAAAGAAATTGCATTAACATGTACATCCTTTAGTTGCAGAGTCCTTGAATTACTCTTCTTCATGAAACTGTAATGTCTTTTAAGTTTAAATATATTTAAATCTGCATTAATTGAACACTGGTCTGGGCTTCCTTGCAAATTTGCTTTTTCACATTTATAATAACAAAACATTTTATACACTTGAAACATTTTACTTCTCTTTGCGCCACCCCAACGGTCTTGTAGAGCAGCAATGTTCAGTTGCTGTATTGTATGTGCCATTATAAGCTCAAAGCATAAATTACAACACAATACTTCAAGCCAGAATTCACAAAAGTATGACTTTTATGTTGAAATCAAGCAAGTTTTGTATGAAAAGGTAGCCATTAAATACTAACCTCATCAGATCTGTCATTATTGAAGAACATGATGTTCCCATGGTTCTGGACTCTTGGGACATGCAATGGTTTACCAGTATCGACGGATGAAAAACTGTCAAAATACAAAGAAAATATTCATGAACAGAATATGACGTACCTCATTAATTCTTTGGTAAAGGCATTATCTATTCTTTGGTAAATGGATTATTTATTCCATAGACAAGCACTTTATTCCACTTTGTAAATACACGTGTGATCAAATGCGAATGCACTGATTGCTAGCTGCAACATTTTACAAATATTGTCTGCGCTAGATTCGGGGAACGGGGAAATCAATAGCCCCTCGGTGATGTGGAAACGTAGCCTACTATCTTCCCTTGGGATAATAGGCTACGGTATCCACATCACAGGGGGGCTCGTGATTTCCCCGTTCCCCGAATCTAGAGCAGTCAATATTTGTTTTATATAACTCATACATAGATTCTACGAGGCCTAAGAAAGGTAATGAATAGAGTACCCACCTATAGGCCTAAGGCAATCAAAGACCAATCTCTCTTGATCGACATCGAGGACGCAATCCCCTTTACAGTTGTGCATGTCATAAATCACACAGTGACTTTATAAGTGGGGCTCCAAGACTACTCTTACCTTGATTGGCATATAGAACAGAATCGCACAATTTTGCATGACAGCAAATGCGTTATCAATAGATTCATTATATTCAATTTGATTATTTACCTGATTCCTCTCATATCTCTGTAGAGGCTCTTCCCAAGCATGAAGTGAGCATCATCTGCAGTTGCTGCAACGTAGCGTAGTAAAGTTGGGCCACGGTGTGGGGCCAAGTCGTTGTTCTCAAGCAAGGCAATATTGGCACTGATGCGCTTTCCATGCCCATGCTGCTCAGCATCCTAGTCAGATAAATGTAATTATTAATTCATTTGAAGTTAAACGTCAGCAATAAGATATACTGTAATTATTTATGCATCCAAGATTATTATTAAGATCAACAATAATCTGTATGATTTGTATATGGACACATTGTATATTATTTTTTTTGCTTATTCTTTAGTATAATTATTTATGATTGTGTATTATCATTTCTTATAGTCATTTATTTATATACTATTATTTCTGTTTATTCTTTAGTATAATTATTTATTTACATTCCTTCCAGATACATCTGAAAGTACTTAGCTGCATGTAAGTAGTGAAGCTGTTTAAGTTATGAATAAAAAAATCCTTGTCCGTCCCATATTTTAAACTTAGAATGAAACTGGAAGACAAGCGCTACCAAAATACAGCTAATAATTGACATTTTGTAACAGTCTTACTATGACTTAGGGCGGTGGATCTGTTGTCTGCCAAAAAGTGGAGTTTATATGAAATAATTTCATTTTTAGATCCCAGGCTAAAGACATTTTAAGCCTATGTAGTGACCACCAAAGTTTAACTAACTTTATACAATGCGTTGAATACTGCTTTGAAGACCGGGCCAAGGCTAGCACCACTGGTCTGAGCTGACTGGACAATTTGTCCCAACCACTTTTTTCTTGCTTGACCTCTGATCCTTTCTTCATACGATCTCTGTCAAAATAAAAACAGACTGTCACTTACAAACAGAAGAGGTGTGAGGAGGGCAGTACACTCAAAGAATCTTCCGAACCTGAAACATCCTTAAATCCAAAGTACTGAATCCGCTTGTCCAAATTTAAAAGAAATTCTGATCCCCAAATCCTAAGCATCATCTCAAAAAATTATCCCAAGGCATCCCTACCTCAACGCTGGTCATAAGAAACTCCATCAATGGATCAAAGTTATCATCGCCTCCTGGAAGCTGTTCACAGATGGCCTTGATGTAAGTCTGAAACTCTACTTTGTTGAGCCGCATGTCACCATCTTTTTTATTCAAGGTTGTTAAAGCTGCAGTAAAAGATGATTATAGGTACAATGTTTACATGATGTTTTCCAACGTTGCACAAAAAAATAACATAATATTCCGAAAGGGATGTACCGAGTACAGCACATAACATGTCGGGTTGAGTAAAACATTATTCCCACCGCAATCATTTGCAAAAATTTTGCTTAGGGGTGTACTGAGATATAATAGGTTACACAGGAAGGTAAGAAAAATTATGATTATGGCACCCCTATGGCTGGGAATAGAACACTCAGACTTTAATTTGAATATAATTAGGCTTTTTTCTTTGTATTTTTCTTTCTTTTTTTAAAATAATTTTAGAAACTATGAGGAACCAGGGCCACTGCTTAACAAGTTTTAAGGGCAGGTATTTATTGAAAAGGGATTAGTGTATGCAGTATTCAGAAAAGAAACTTAGAGATTTAACTTAAATCTTGTATTCCCAACATATACTAACCATTCTTAATAACCTTTGACTCCATATTTTCTTTGAACTTTGTGAGTACAGTAAGCAGTTCATCAAGATCTAGGAATCCCGAGCCATCATTATCCCACCGATCAAACAGCTGATCCATTACATGACGACGTTTTGCTGTTTGTACCGCCTGACGAGCCTGTAATCATTTCAATTAGGAATATATCAACAGAGAGATAGAGTGTATCAAACTTAAAAGGGGTTATCCATCATGTGAAAACACTAACAGCCTATGTGAATTGTAATCAGTTAATAAATAGGATAATATCGGCAACGAGACAGAAAATGTGCCCATACAAATGATCACCAACTACTGACAGATTCAAAGGGGGCAGGGCAATAAATGTGAGCAGAAATTCAATAAAACACAGTAGCCTCATATACACACACACTGTAGGCTATGAAAAAAAGCCTGTGGAACTATGACAACCTTTCAAATACTTTATCTGTTTCTTGTATTAGTAAGATATAGTTGACTTATCTGTACAGTTATATTTAGTTCATTATTTTATCTATGTATCTATTGAAGTACAAAAAGAATGTAGTTGTATCATTTTTTGTTGAAGATTAAAACAAAAATGTTATTATATAATCATATTATTATTTTAAATCATTACCTGACGCATACGTTTCATCTTCTCATCCTCTGTTTCTACATACCCCTCCCTTATGAACTTCATCAACTCATCAAGAATGCCATCAGGCATCTCATCTCCTAAGAACACTTCAATGAGCTGCGTAAATTGCGACTGATTCAACGTGTGCTCATCAAATGCACTTGTAGTCACTGAGCCACTTCTATTGGATTGGCCATAGGATTGATCTGTAAAGTAAAAATAAATACAGTGTGAAAGCATCCACATGATACAACTACTAATTAATTTAATAGAGTGAATGTACTGATTCTATGGAGAACGCAACACCACAACGTGCGCACAATGGATCGTAGTTAATGACAATCAGCAAATTGTGTCGTCTAACACTCAAGGAAGCAGAGCTGGATTCGTCGGCCGACGGTCGGATGACGTAGTGAGTACCCAGCTTCACTCAACGTGTAAGTAAAAATCAAATAGCAGAAAAAAATTCCAAAAATAAATTCATTTAATTAACTCAGTGATAATTATTTTTTTTATTAAGGATCATAAAAAAAATATATTCAATGTTAATACAATTCCCTTTCTCCCCCCACCCCCACCCAACAACGCCTAATAACAACATCTTGTCAAGAACTATAATAATTACCATAGCAACGGCAGCAACAAAAACAACAGCGACAACATCAACCGACAAAGTAACACTAATAGTAAATAAATTACCAAGTAACAAGTACTCACTTGTTTTAGGACTGGCTACATCATCTCTGAAACTGACACTGGTTTGGCCAATCGATGTGGCTGTTTTTGGGATGGGTTCCTTTGCTATTTCTGATTGGTCTTCAGTTTTGTCTCCTAAACATTAGAAATTATCAACATGGATTTGTACATTGACAGGCACAGCTTATAAATGTATAGTTTTCGATTTGCACAACACATGACTCCAGGATGGATTCACTCATCCGTGAAGATCCTGCCTTCTCTGTACAACAATAGGGAACTTTCGATTTGCACAACACAACGCTAGTACAGAATCACTCATGCGTGACCGTCCTACCAGGTGTCCTATGTTCTCTGCATACATAGATTTGGCCAAATTGCATCCTAGAATTCATGCAATGAGAACTTAACATTTTCGCATGCACACTTGACTTTAGTAACGTCATTACGTTCTACGTCCTACCGTCGTCGTGCAATCGAAAGCTCCCTACTGATTGGAGCCAAACTGCATCTTAGAATTCAGGTGACGAGAACTCAATGTCATTGTAGTATACGCAGATGGTTCTACATGACGTCGTTCCATTCTAGAACTATACCATCATCGTGCATTCAAAAGCTCCTACCGTAATGTCACAATGTTAACTGAATTGTAATAAGAATTTAAAATGAACCTTGTTTTTCAAAGATTGTTGCCTCAGCTGCTGGTACTTCCCCTTCAGTGTCAGTTGGCTGTGCTTCCTCATGCGGCTGTAAATAGATAACCTCACAATATTAAATCAATCTAATAATCTAAGCAAAGAAAACTTGCATTAAAGGTATACTTGTCATTATTGCGCTAATAATATAACACAGCAATCTGAGATTCTTCAAAAGCTAATTATTAAATAACCTTAAAATTAGAAACTAATTGCTTGCCCTTTTGTACTATTCTGTACAGAATGCCTTGTTTGTGATTTATTTTTTAAAGAACTAAAGTCATTATTTGTACCTTTGTTTGCTGGGATTCATCAACATCTACTTTACTTTCCTGCTGTACGGGTGTTTTCTCTATCTTTTCTTCTGCTGCTGGTTGTGGTGTTGAAGTCTTTTCATCTGAAGTCGCTTCCCTGGTTGCTATTGCTTCTTGTTCTGTAGTTTCTTCCTTCAATTCAGTGATTTGTTCTCCAACACTTTCCTTCTCTTCAACTGTATCTTTTTGTTCAGGAAGTTCTTTTTCATCAGAAACTTCCTCTTCAAGAACAGCAGTGTCTTTTGAAGACGCTTCAGGTTTTGGTTCCTGATCTACTGGGTTGGTAACATGCTGAATGTTTTCCCCCTCACCAGTTGGTCTAACCTCTTGCTTTTCCATATTGTCAAGTGTGTTATCAGCATCTTTCTTTGTCTCTGCCTCCTCATCTTTTGGCTTTTCTGTTGATTCTGAGACCTTTTGTTGTTCCCCATCTTCTTGCTGAATGTCTCTTGAAACTGATTGGATACCAGAAACACACTCATCTACATTGGATTGTGAATATGGGATAGAACCTTCTGTAGCAACACTCTCGGAATCATCCTCCTCATCAATCTCGATAACAGGCCCTGAAAAGAAAAATTTATTAGAAAACATATAATATAGATGTAATACATATTACTATATCATACTTTTCCAACATTATGTATATACACTTACTAAACTTAACTTATATGAAATAGTTACCAGTTCAAGTACTTTTATTTAATAGTACTTACTACAGTATTACTACAGTGTGGCCTTTGTAGGTATAATGCTTGATTAAGTTTTGGCAAAGTGTTTTTTATGTATTATATTTGTTAAAGAACATTTAATTTTCATCAGTTTTCAACAATAATTATATAGTCCTATCTTAGATTTACTCACATTTTCTTGGGTTCCTCAGGAGGCATTTGATAGACCAATTAGCATTATCCCAAAAAGACTCAAGCAGGGCTATCACCCGGTGGCGATCAAGGATTCCAAGATTTGTGTGGTCACACCTCTTGAAGAGGTTGGAGAGTAGAGAGCGCTGCAATTCCTTCTCGTTCGACTTGCAGAATGCAGTGGCACAATTGGTCATGTGCTTCATAAACTCAGTAAATATGTCTACTGGCATATCCTTAACATGTTTCTTTAAAAACTACAAGAATCACAAAAAAAATGGTCTTGTTAATTAAATACCAGTTAATTTAAACATGAAATTGGGCTGATTTGGGCAGGGGGTGAGTTTATACACTTGTTCATGAAAAAAACTTTTTCATCCTTTAGAGAGATTCAGATCCAGATATTCTTTAGTGTTATAACAAATGTTTTGAGATTTGTTTTTTTGAATACATATGGATTAAAATTATAAAAATACATCAAAATACAATATAAAGTTAGTTAAATAGATATCAAACATACAAAAATTTACATGTACTGGTATTGTAAAAATGCTTAGAAACTTATTAATTTTAAATCATTCTTTGTGCTTCTGCCTGGAGAACGACTGGCAAATGAAACTAGATGTGATGTGGGGGTGAGCTTATACCCAAGAAACTAAGATTTGTACAATCATTTTTCCTGATGATCTTAGAGACTGTAAGACACCTTTCAGGTAGAGTACACATAAAAAATAGGCTCTTGATAGAAGCATGGAGGTATTATTGAGAAGGAGATCACTCGGCAAAAGTTCCCTTTGACGTGACAAACCCATGTGTTCCCCGCCTTTGGATGGCGCGCAGGCGTATTACCCTATAATTTACATTTTTTCATTAGCAACAACTTGGCAACGACATGCAATTATACGCTTCCAGCAGAGCAGTTGTGCAAAATAAAGCATTTGATTTTAACCCATTAAATATCTTTATAATCATGTGTTCCCCTGATTAGATTTTTTCGGACTTTTGGTATGTTATTATTTGTATATTTCAGGAACGGAATCCGTAAAATATTCACACTGCACTTGGCATGCCTGTCAAAATGAAATGAAATGAACTTTAACACATTCCATTCTACAGAAAAACTGCATTTCCACAGCATAGAGTATCGGCGCAAGTGCACTAAAAATGTATGGCTATGTAGGAAAGTCTTGTGACTACAGTGCTAATAAGCTGGAAAACCGCACCTACCTCAGAAAATGTATCAGGGGTTACCTTCTTGTCAGGATTATCAACTGGTTCGATATCGATTGTGAATTTTGAAGCTGAAAATGGAAAGCAATTTGATATAGAAATTATATAAACAACCAAAATATTTTCTATGAAGCTGGTTGTAGGGTATACCAGTGGGCATCTTTTACTTTTATTGGTACTGTGTCCGATTTGTTTAAATTTCTGGTGTACCACACTTGTTTTGATAATAGTCAATATTTTGCTAAATAAATGTTTTTGTTGCTTGTAATCAGCACTTTAATTTAACTGATTTCAAGTAGGTACATTTATCCACATTTAAAATTTCTGACATTTTTGTTTGATTCATAATACTACTTTTAAAACTGAATTATTTAAAGAATTAAATAAAACTAAAACAAGTTCAATACAATTTTTTTGTTTTTTTTTTACTTATTATTTAGGTCCTGGAAGCTATACTTTAGGTAAGAGGTTAGGCAAGACTTTTTTTATGCCTTGTTTCGCGTACTTATTTTTTTTTAAAGATTATCGGAGGAGGGCGGAATAAAAATAAAAATAAAATTTTGTTTTCTTATTTAGCAAATAGTTTTGCCAAAGTCATCCAGATGGAGGAGAGAAAATAAAAAGAAAATTTTATTGGTGAATGTAAAATAGGATGGTTAAATGCTTCAAATTTATATAATTAAGAAGAAATATACATATCTTATCTTTGGAGATTTTAAGGCAACGGAGGGCGTGATAAAAATAAAGAAAATTTTCATTTTTTTCCGAAATTTCCCCCTTTTTCGTAGCGACAGGTGCGCTAATTGGCCAAAAATAAAATTTTATTTTTATTCGAAATCCTCAATATTTGGGTTCACTAAACAAGGTATAAAAAAAGTCTCTTCTTAACTTTATTTTTATTCATTATCTTTTAAATGTTATTCCTCTAAGCCCTAGACTGCAACCTACTTGCAAATAAGGCTGAAACATACTATGAAATTCACAGTCCGTCAACAATGCAAAGTATCAAAGCAGTGCCGACAAGAAATGGTCAGTGTCGGATTTGAACTAAATTCTGACCAGAGGATTAAGAACAAAAATAGTATCTTTTATGCCAAACAGCAAATCTAGTTCACAACATTTCATAAAAATTACCTTGTTGAAGTTCATCAGGCATTTGCTGTAGTATCTCAACAAAAGATTGCAGTGAAGATTGAAGCAGTCTCATTTCAAGTTTGCCCTCTGAATTCCTCATCCATTCTTTCAAATTATCTTTAATACGGGCTGAACGTAGCCTCTGTTCTATCTGCTTCTGTTGAACAATCCTTTGTTGTTCTTCACGTCGTTTGCGTGCCTCTGCCTTAGCTCTAGCCAATCTTTAGAAGAGAACCATTTCAAATAGGTATATTGGATGTTAATTATTGTTTTTATGCCATAGATTATTATGGGCAAGTTTCTTTTTTGACAGAAAGCCCTCTTTTTGGCCATCAGCTTTTTGGATATCTGTAACGCCAAATCTGATTAAAAGAAAGCCAACAAAGAAGAGAATGAACTCTCTGAATGCTATTCCAAAAAAGGCAAAATGGCTTACAATGCTGAAAAACAATAAAAAAAATTAAGGCAGCAGAAAAAAAGGAAACAGCTGTGTGTGCTTGATAAAAATTCCTTTTTGTATTATTGGCCTTATTAAAAGATGGGATTGTGTTTGGAACTCTATGGTAAAAGTATGTGCTTTCAAATAACATATAAGATTGTGTTTAAAAAAATTAAATCATTCATAATAGAAATAACTTGAAAATATTTATAAATGTTGCACCTGTGTCTCAGTACCTTAAGTGTATAAATCCCATTTCTCAAATTCAATCTCACTTTCTAATAAAAAAGAAGTTTACTAACCTGTTGTCTTCAAAAGAAAAAACATGTTCCTTTAGTTCATCTGTCACATCTTTCAATCCACGGATATAAGGAGAAGCCTCTGGGAAGTTGCTGTATCTTGGGTTGTTTCTCATTAAATATTGTGCCAAGTAATTAATGGGATTAAAATTAGGATTAGGGTCTGTGGTGTCTGCTAAACCTTTCTTTTCAACTTCAGTCAGAAGTTTCTCTACACCCAAGATCAAAGTCGGTAACAGCTTATCCAAAAGGTAGGCACGAGTTTCGACAGTTACTTCATTCCTGTTCATCCATTCAAGTGCAAGTACGTCAATTGGAATTTTTCGGGCAAGTCGCAATTTTTCTTCTTTAACTGTCCTAATATGCTCATCCTTTGCATTTTTACGCATTTTAAAACGTTCAAATACTCTCTGTTCATGGAAGCGTTTCCATCTGCGTACTGCACTCTTTACAATTGGTGACAAATGTTCTGCCATCTCTGCTTTGGAGCGAAGAGATCTCACAGATGGAGGTCTTTCGAAGGATGGACTACCACGATCACTGCCTGATCGTGGATGAGAGGGAGGTCTTGGATGAAGTACATCACTTGTTGGACTTGGAGAGCCACACTGTGATCCCTGGCGTGAATGAGGCCTTGCTTCTATGAAACCTACTCTACTAGACGGCCGTGAGCCTTGGTTCATTCTCCCAACATTAGCACCTACAGGTGGGCTACTGATAGTTTCTACACCAGCCATTGAACACTTTTCTCAAATGTAAACTTTCAAATCGTAGTAAATTTTCCAAAACTAGACATATTTAGGCTAGGCTGGCTTTTTCTACAACATTAAAACATTATTAACAAAAATTAGTGTAATATTATAAATTGACGATCAATAATATTAATAAGTCTACAAAAAAATTCTATAAAAGCGAGACTTCTAGTATAGGCCTAGCAGAGGCCCACTAACCAGCACGATAGTAGGTTCCTCAACCCTACCTACCTACCTAAGTTAGGCCTAGGTTAGCTAGGCATACATAGGCCTACACAGGCAAACTCTTCAGAGCAGAGAGGCTTGTTGTTGGCTTAGGCCTAGCTAGAAGAGGAGAGGCTATGCTAGCCTAGGCCTAGCATCTCTCAAGAATTAGCCTTCATCTGTGTAATAAACATAGATTTTAACGTTCACAAAACATATGCATTTATGGATAAAAAAAAATGCTTCTAACCCTTTATGAAAGAAGTGTTGAAAACATCGTTTACCACTCACAGCACATCGCAAATGCTAAACTTTTCTTCGTGTTGTTTTCAGTTGCCAAGGTAAGTTATCAGAGTACGCATGTGCGTGTACTCCTTTCCGCGACGAGATTGTCAACTCGAGCCATAACTCGAACGCACATCGCTTACTCGAGCGTATATGTAAACACGAGCGATTTTTTTTTGACTGCAACATATATCTTGGGAGTCTTGCACAGCGATGATAGGAGAGCGATTAAGTCGGGACTCGGAGGGGGAGGGGATTAAGGGTAACTCGCAAAATAAAGTGATAGTGTCAATAGTTAGTCATAAAAAAAGTGCTGTCCATCCATCCATCTATCCATCCATCCATCTATCCATCCATCCATCCATCTATCCATCCATCCATCCATCCATCCATCCATCCATCCATCCATCCATCTATCTATCTATCCATCCATCCATCCATCCATCCATCTGTCTATCCATCCATCCATCCAGTCATCTATCTATCCATCCGTCCTTCCATCATTCATTCATTCATTCATTCATTCATTCATTCATTCATTCATTCATTCATTCATTTTTTTCATCCATTCATTCATTCATTCATCTATTCATTCATTCATTCTTTATTTTACATTTCATGAAATCACAACACAATTGATACATAGGTAAAGTACGTAACTAAAACTGACATTATTGAGAAAAAATATGTAAATATAAGGAGACAAGGATTAAGAAGAGCAATTCAAAGTTAGTAAGAGTTAGTAGCTCATATTCCTAGAAAAACCGTAAGTATAATATTTTGCATAATTTTATCAATGATTGTGTTGAAGTGTGCTCCTTCTTTAGTTAATTTTTATATTTTTGTAATTTAAGCTGAACGCACCACTCTTGTGTGTGCCACCGTTCCAAAGGCGTAGGCCTATGTTCTCAAAGTAAATAAATAAATAAATAAATAACACAATATAAACAATTATATGGTATAAATATATTAAATTCTCAGATTTTGCCAATAATATTAGGATGAGAAAACTAAAGAAAATAAAAATGCGACTTCTAAAATTCATTTTTTTAGTCATTTCTTATATTGTTCTTTGTATTAGTTGTCTTTGCACCTGGTGGAATTATTAAAGCTGAAAATTGAAGTTGAACATATTTGGCAAAAGTGCTGAATTCCAGAAATTTTGCTCGAGCTGAAACATGAGCTCGACTTGGTACATGCTCGAGTGGTATCCGTTCGAGTGTTACGTCACTTGAACCTGATCTGACCGCATATCAACTCTTCCGGATTCTCCCAAAATTGAGCGAAATAATGATTGGGCAGCGCGGTGTGAAAAAGAGAGAGGTTGTGCCCGGTATTTTTTAAGGATTTTTGCTTGGGTAATAAGTATCATATTTGCGTGAAAAATGTCTTTGGTAACAGTCCAGCGTTCTCCTACAAATTCAAGCAATAGCTCAACAATTTCCGTCTCGGTGAGTAACGATTTTGACGTTTAAATAAGCTAGGCCTAGCCTAGGCTATGGGCTATGCTTCAACCAATTATTCAAAAGTGCAAAAACCAGGTTCGGCTGTCAGTCAGAGCAGACGTTTGGTGGGGCAAAGTGAAGGGTTATGAGCAGACAGCTGATCAATAATGATGAAGCAGCTAGGCCTAGGCCTACATTAAATGTACTGATCGTGTATACCATACCAATGAAACTAGAAGTTCCTTTCAAAGACAAAGTTAATAAATGAGATGCAATATTCATGACATTCATCCTATATTAAAACATCCCTACCCAATGTGAGGTGATTGTAGTTGTATTTGCTGTTCTGTGTAGGTAGGGCCTATGGCTATGCCTAGGTAGGCCTAATAATAATAATATTATTTAATGGTAGTACTAGCCTACGTCTAGGGTAGGTAGGGGGTAGCCTAGATGGGAAGCGCCAAGACTTGATGACGGGGATAGGCCTAGGCCTCCATAAAAAAATTAAAAACTCAGAATTGTGCGGTAAGTTGTCAGAAAAGTAGATATGCATATTTGCAGCTTCAACACAATAGATTTATTGTAAATATTTAGACATAAACAAAGACCTAATTTTGTGCAAAATTTGTGCAGAATTCAGCCCTTATTTTTTAAAATACACTGACAGATTTCTTTGTCAAATTTTTTTGCACAGGGGATCCCGCAGCCCCTATTTGACAGTCGAGACTAGACCAGTTGCGTTTGGGGCTCTCAACCTTGAAGTCAGGGTTTTGAATCCTCACTGTACACTTTGTCCACATTGTCTCTCTCCACCCAGAAGTATCAGTGGGTACCTTGCAGGGTTGAAAATGCCATGTGCACTGATTGATTAGCTGGAAATGGAATACAATGGAATACTTCCCCAAGGAGCTTTAGTGGGTTCTATAGAGCCTATTTTATTCAATGACCAGAGTAATAATAGTGTGTGAATAGAGGTCATAGGATGATGTGCTATATTAATTAACCGATGTCCCTGATGAAAATATAAGAAGGGGGTAAGGAGTCAGGGAGTCCAGGGATGAAGACCATGCTGAATCTTTATATATTTTATTTATTCAAATTGTTTTAAGCACAAGGCCATGCATATAGATACCAAATAGCAAACTTTAATACTCCCAACAGGAGGCACCCCCACGGGCACCACCATTGTGTAAAATCTAAAAACTGGTTCTGTAACCCCCATACTTACTGTCTTATTGAGCCTTTCTTGAATTATGTCTTAATGAGCTTTTTGATATCAGTTTTGACATAAATTGCAAATTGTAGTAGCCCTGAATAGGATTGCAGTACAGTATAATTGATTTAAAAAGCCCTGTAATATGTTTGTTCAGGTTTGTTTTTTTTCAAAAATATACCTGCATGACAGTGTAAAGTACCAATCATTGAATACCAACATGTGTTTAGAAATCAATCACATCACAACAAATTTGTTTAAGACACTTTGGAGACATTGTTTGGATACTGTACAGTTACCAGTCATACTTTTGAACAAACAAACTTTGTTTGGATCATGCATCACAATTAAATTATACACTTTGGTGTTGACCAACCTTTTGTAAATTTATTCTAATTCTATCTCACATTCATTTTGTAATCAGATTTCTTGTCTTGGAAAAAAATAATAACTCTGGATCTCGGTATTGGCTAAAAAGTTAGTACTAATGTTTTTTCAGCATGTTGTGCTAACAATCACATGACATATTCTGCTATATTAATGTATAGTTAAGTACATTTCTATTTGACAGTCGAGACTAGACCAGTTGCGTTTGGGGCTCTCAACCTTGAAGTCAGGGTTTTGAATCCTCACTGTACACTTTGTCCACATTGTCTCTCTCCACCCAGAAGTATCAGTGGGTACCTTGCAGGGTTGAAAATGCCATGTGCACTGATTGATTAGCTGGAAATGGAATACAATGGAATACTTCCCCAAGGAGCTTTAGTGGGTTCTATAGAGCCTATTTTATCCAATGACCAGAGTAATAATAGTGTGTGAATAGAGGTCATAGCATGATGTGCTATGTTAATAAACCGATGTCCCCGATGAAAATATAAGAAGGGGGTAAGGAGTCAGGGAGTCCAGGGATGAAGACCATGCTGAATCTTTATATATTTTATTTATTCAAATTGTTTTAAGCACAAGGCCATGCATATAGATACCAAATAGCAAACTTTAATACTCCCAACAGGCCCCCCCCCCACGGGCACCACCATTGTGTAAAATCTAAAAACTGGTTCTGTATCCCCCATACTTACTGTCTTATTGAGCCTTTCTTGAATTATGTCTTAATGAGCTTTTTGATATCAGTTTTGACATTTGCAAATTGTAGTAGCCCTGAATAGCTTTGCAGTACAGTATAATTGATTTAAAAAGCCCTGTAATATGTTTGTTCAGGTTTGTTTTTTTTCAAAAATATACCTGCATGACAGTGTACAGTACCAATCATTGAATACCAACATGTGTTTAGAAATCAATCACATCACAACAAATTTGTTTAAGACACTTTGGAGACATTGTTTGGATACTGTACAGTTACCAGCCATACTTTTGAACAAACAAACTTTGTTTGGATCATGCATCACAATTAAATTATACACTTTGGTGTTGACCAACCTTTTGTAAATTTATTCTAATTCTATCTCACATTCATTTTGTAATCAGATTTCTTGTCTTGGAAAAAAATAATAACTCTGGATCTCGGTATTGGCTAAAAAGTTAGTACTAATGTTTTTTCAGCATTTTGTGCTAACAATCACATGACATATTCTGCTATATTAATGTATAGTTAAGTACATTTTAATTCAGCAATTGATTTCAACATATGTTTTCTTGATTATTTTCCCTTTTCTCAATATAATTTTAACATTAGATTATTCTTTCAAGGATTGATTTTAAAAGCAACTTTTACGTTATAATGCAACAGTTCTGGGCTGTGATCATATCCGTATATTGTTTTTATCTTTAAATAGAAATTCAGAATCAATGAACATTATGAATTCCTTAGTTTTGAAAGTTTTGTAAATGCCATCCCACATGATTATTTTTTTAGTAAAACCACTGTTCAGTGTCATCATGGTAAAAATGTAAACATTCTGTGCTTTCCATTTTTCGATTGGCTATGTTGTAGATGAAACAGTACTGTATTATAAAAGTAATCATGTGCGAATGCTACTTTCACGATTATTTCATGTGCTGGGATTTGACCTTTGTGCCACCTTGTTGCTGGGATTTGACATTTGTGCCAACTTGTTGCTTGGATTTGACCTTTGTGCCACCTTACTCCATCCAAGATGATTCATCTTTGTTATAAAGTGTTTAACTTTAAATAAAGAAAAAGATCCATTACAAATTATTAATTACATTCTTTCTCCAGAGGTTGAACGTACCATGTTAAGGTTGTATAAATTGCATAGAAATGTAGTGGCATTGTCAATGCAAACTTAGAGAAGACTAATGAGCTACTTTGATATTCCTATAGTACTCTTAAAGTTGAAGTATTACAATACTCACACAGTTTGTTTGTTAGTAGGCCTAAGTGTATTCTTTTACTTTGTTGCTACAGTAACCATGGGTGTCCACATTTCAGACTTAGTAGCAAATTCCAGTAATAAAAATTTTTGATTTTAAATTAAAATTACATCCATTTTTATCGTTGTTTTGTTTGTTTAGTGATCTGTTAAGTGGGATTTTTCGACTCAAAACAGTATACAACACACTGCAGAAATTTAATTCATCAAGATTCACTGTCTTCTGGGTAATTTGTTAAACAATACTGTACTTTTCTACAGTATCTTATTGGAAATTATATTGTTAATTTTTATAGTTTTGCACCAGTTTCTTGAGATCGTGTCACTCCATAGTAACAACAACATGGGTATGAGTGAAATAAAAAGAATAGGATATATTCAGTCTACACTATTGACATTGTTAATTAAACAAAATGAAAAGGGAAAAAAAATGAAAGATACATCTCACCCACTACATAGTACAAAATGTCTACAACTGGCTGCCATCTGGCAAAAGATGAAAATGCTGCAACTGTAGAACAATTCGGTTCCGAACTCCTTTGTTCCATATTCAAACATACCGGTATAGAATGTTTAATGGCTGGTTGGCTTAAACGCATTTATCTTTATGTAATGTTTTGTTGTATATATTGTACTATAGACTTTATGTCGGAATTTATATCTTTTTATATTTTTTCTAAAATTTATATAACACTTCCTTTATATTTATATGTTTGGCTTTTTAAAATTTTTCATGCGCTGTAATATCTAATTGTAATTTCCTTTCAGACAATAAAGTTATTTTGTATCTTGTAAAACACAAAGCTAACCCTCTAAATTGGAGACCAAACCCCAAGACCATTTCAAATGTTCAGGCCCTCAAATTGGAGGGGAACATATCATGTTTTGGTCGTCTGCATTGTAATTAGAAGTCAGATTTTCTTAAGTGTCATGTGCCCTTCCCTGTTAAATGTGGTTTTTATATAGCATCCTTTATTAAACTGAGGTCATTTTGAATAAGGAAGTTTATCTGAATAATTTATAAGCCTAGCCTTTAATACTTTCAATTCCTTTATTCTCAACCAAAGACCTTGATGATGTTATGTTTTGCTGTTCAGTTTGTTTCTAACATTTGCAGTTCACATTGTTTTTAATTAAAAAGAAGAACTATTAAAAGAAATTTAATTTGAGTAACGAAAGTATAAATAATTATTGTTTTTGTAATAAAGGTTTTATTTAACAGTATTTAATTTAAAAAAGTTTTTTAACATCAGATTGTTTGATTGTTATATAAATTAGTAATACTTTACATTTCTTGAGAAATGCAAAATAATAAAATTGAATCCTTACTGGACATGAAGATGAGAGTATGTCCAATTACTATGTTTTTAAATCTTGATATAAAATTAAATTAATCAATTTAATTTGGTACCTGTACAGTATCTTTGAAAATGCTGTGGAAA